GAGTGACAAAACCTAATCTCAAAATATGCCAACTCAACATCTATCTTTGGAGACACCTGTAGAGCTCCTTTATAATCACCCAGTTACATTGTGACGTTTGGTAGCACACAAAGTGTTCCTCCGGTAAACGGGAGTTGCATAATCTCATAGTTGTAGGAACTTTGTATAAGTCATGAAGAAAGCAATAGCAACATACTAAACGAAGTGCTAGGCTAACGGAATGGGTCATGTCAATCACATCATTCTCCTAATGATGTGATCTCTTTAATCAAATGACATCACATGTCTATGGTTAGGAAACATAACCATCTTTGATTAATGAGCTAGTCAAGTAGAGGCATATTAGTGAGATATAGTTTGTCTATGTATTCACACATGTATCATGTTTCCGGTTAATACAATTCTAGCATGAATAATAAACATTTATCATGATATGAGGAAATAAATAATAACTTTATTATTGCCTCTAGGGCATATTTCCTTCACCAGATCCTAGGATTAGGTGTCCCTAGGATCCATTCGGTCGTGCCCAACAAGTTCTTGCTCCAAAGCTTGTTGTGTAGGATCTTGTTATGTTTTGCTTGAGGGGTTACAGGCTCTGTATGAGGTTCATGTGAAACCTGTTTAAATTTTATTTTAACCCAGAGGCCAGAGGTTTCATAGATAATTTGGATAAGCAATCTATGATTGTTATATATTACTGAATGATTCATGCTTATTGCTATGGAATGCATTTGCTACATTTTACAATTCAATTGCCAACCAATAGTAAACAAAGACATGTCAATATTTGCTGGTGATTACTATTAGCAATGATATTTTAGTACCAAGTTCAAAGTATGCACACATTTTCAACTTATCACTGGACTCACTGTAACTTGCAACACACAGTTGGCCATGAACGAAAATGATAAAGAATTGCACCAATGGTTTAATTCACATAGATTTTTCTACAAATGCGATTACCTAATAGTACATTAAAGATCACAATTATGATATTTGTTAGTCCTTGTGGTTTAGAGATATCTACCACAGATGTATATATTGTATATAGTTTATAAAATAACAAACTTATATTCGAGAAGGTATTTTTTGTGAAACACAATTTAAACTTAGCATGACAAAACTTTATTTTCCATTACATACCTTACAAATGTATAACATGAAGGTTATATTTAGCAACTTGGTTATGTGGTTAACTACGTCAAATGTGTAATAGATTATTATACCTGTTAAATTTAGAGCATGAAAAAAAATTAGAAGTATAAGATTTAAGTATAAATTATATTAATCCTAGAAAAAGTGATGGTCGGGGTCGTGGCTGAGATAATTACTCATACATGATAGGAAGCCTCAGATAATTGCGCTCGTAGTTACCAGCAATCAAATAGAACCAAAGAATCCATCACATCAGAGTGAGCATTGACTTCATGAACTGGATAATCCCCATGTCCTCAGCTTTTCCTTCTACATACGCTTAACTCGCGACAATCTGCAAACATGCATAAGCAAAGAAGCATATAGTCAGTATATGATATTGATTATGTAGAAAAATGTATAAATGTTATCAATTTAATAATCAGGTCTGAAGCAACAAATTGTTTTACTGTGCTAAAACATACAAGAGTCTGCCACAGATTCATGTCGGGAAGGGCAATGCTACTTTGTTATGGAATTTCTAGAAAAATGGCCAAGAAATAGCCCCTTTGGTCCTAGATAAAGTGAGTATGAGAAACTACAATAGGAGAATAGTGGATGAAGCTATAATCTTGCATTCGTAGGTGCCTGATATCGTTGGCTGCTTAACCACTCATGGCCTCATCCAATAGTACCACACACACCCTCTCACTGCCACAGAGGCAGGCGAAAGAGGAGGGGACCCGCGGCCTTGTAAGTGGGAAGCGTGACAACTAACATGTTTTGAGAGGGAGAGTGCTTTGGAGTCCTTCTTTTCCAAAGGCATGGAGCAGACTACATCTCTCACGCGTACGGTGGATCATGTAATAACTCTTCAGGTTTTTTGGTCGACATTTTCTTACTTAAGACGTCAAAAATGATTCACTGTACTGACGATGCTCCTAATAGCTACCAGGGCGATGACGACCGTGCCAGCGAAATCTTTGGGAGTGCACATCGCCAGCGGCCTTGTTGACAATAATGTAGTTGCTTGGATCGTTGGGACGTGTCATCGATCTACAAATAGCAGGCAGAGAAAACCTTGGAGTGCTTGACCTATACTAGATGAGGTGAGCCTCACACGTACTTGTTGCTTTCATGGCGGCCTGGCAACATGACATTCGAAGTCCAGCGCACTACACAACAGGAAAATACCACATTTTGTAGAGAATCAAGGAAGCCTTGGGGATCTAGTACTTCAATTAAGTTTTTTTAGGGGTACCCATTCGATTAAGTGTTAGAGCAACTCTAACAAAGTCGTCAAACAGGCCCGAAACAGCTAATATGGAGTTTGGGGCCAAATGCAGATCTAGCACTTTCGACAAATAAGACTTGAAAAAAAATTTGAAGTGCACTCCAAAAACAGGGTCATCATCTCCCTATATGACGGTTGGTTAGGGGTGCTGGTATGGTCAAGGGCGGGCTAGATTAATACAAGGGATCTGCAAGGTAGCGGTTCGACACTGTAGAGAACCAGACACTATAGCCCCGGGGTTTTAGGTTTTTTGTTTTGAATTTTTCAAAACCAAACATTTTTTGAATTTGCAAGGAAATTGTGAAGCATGCATATTTAAAAAAAACACAAACATTTTTTTGAAAAATCCCAAACTTTTTTCGAAAATACAAAAATAATAATTTATGAGATTTTTTAAACGAAAGCATTTTCTGAAATTCTGAAGAATTATTTAAAATTCTTCATCATTTTCTAAATTTATGAACGAAATTTGAAAACAGGAATAGTTTTTCAAATTTTGAATAATTTATGGAAAACATAGAAATTTTTTTCCCAAAAAAACGAAAACACGAGCATTTATTTAAAAGAAAAATAAACTTGAAAAAGGAAAGAAAACAAATAAAAATAAACATAAAAACATTAAATGGACATTGTTGAAATGGTAAAATGGATCTAAACCATAAATAAAACTTTATTCACCAAGTGTAAATAGCACGAGATCAAAATTAAAGAATAGTACTCACTAATCATCGTTATTAGTGAATGATCTCTGCCAGTTCAATCATCTGAGTAAGCATCACCAGTTATCAATCTGACCGACTTGGTTATTAATTAGTGGTCAACCACTCATGCAAAATGTTGATATCATATTAATACTCAAATTATTTAAATTCTAACCCACACAATGTGTCAAGAAGTGCTAGTGTTTTTCAAGGATTTGAGCTTCTCTTCAATATGTCCAGAACCTACGCGTGACAGAGGCAGGCCTTGTGTAGAGAACTTTATTCTGAAAGACAGGTTGTCCCACCCAAATCAAAAGTAGGGTACAAGCGGACCTGGCGTTTTGGTGCCCAGGCTCACCTGCACCTGAAATCCAGTCCATTGATGTCTCTCTTGGGATTCAGAAAATCTGGTTTGATGGGACAGGTTCGGTGTGCAGAAAAGTCTAATACGGGTTGTATATGTTTTCAGTAAAATGATCGATTGATCTTTCTTTGTTGATAGTGAAACTATTTGTTCCATTACAAGGGACGCTAGAGAAGAGACGTCTGTACAGAAGAGATGCAAGCAACAGTCGCGTCAGTTGGGAGATGAGAGAGAGAGAGAGCGAGAGAAGGAAGAGAATATCACCTAGTCCTCCTACGGCAGGTGGCATCGTGATGCGGATGTGAAGATTTTAGCGAGAGCTGCTGGATTGCAGCTCGGGATGATGTTGGTGGTGCCCCGCTCTGGATGAAGATGGGTGGACTAAGATGTACTGCCAGTAGTGAAGATAAACATGTAGGGGTGTGAGAGGGATGGGTTATTTAGTAGTTAGTGCATACGCATCGGATGCGCGTAGGAGTGGACTTGTCATTTCACGCAAAAAGAAAACCATGACTTGATAGACCACGAGCAGTCGCCACATTACTCCATCATCTAGGTAACACGGGCTTTACATCCAGACTGCACACACCGAAGACCGAACGGCACACGCATCAGCATCAACCACACCCAAAAGACCACGCACTGGACGAACACAGCGACCATCAGGCTAACAGCTGCAAGCAGTTGTGCGCCGCGACACATGTTTGTAGGCGCCTAGGGCACCAGCTGCGGCCTTTATGATTTTATCTGGGACAGGTTGGGATTTGAACCGGAAGCACGGGCTATGCAACACACACATCTTGAAAGTTGAACCTCAAAAAAAAAAGGTAACAGACGCGAGACTGAAAACAAAAAAGGAACACTGAAAGATAAATACGAGACACAGTACTGAAAACCTCAATAAAAAAAAACAGGCAATACAAGACACAGCAGAAATCCCAAGGTGGCATAGATATAGGGATCATATGAGAACTTCTCTTTTAGAGAACGTCCCTCCCAATCAGGATGGCTTGTAGGTGTCGTGCAACAATCCACATTCCTTGATCGTGGTGACATGATGAATCTCATAAATTTCATGCACATGTTTAACACCAACTAGAAGTTGAAAATATCTTTAGCTTATACAATGACACTTAGGCATTTAGTTATTCAAAAGATGTGCACTAGTCGAGGACATAGCTTTCATTAGTGCCGGTAAACCTAGTAATCACGAGCACAAGTCACTCAAAATAGATAGAGTGCGATAATGAAGTATAACCAACGACCAAAAGAGTAATGTCTTCTTAGTCACTATAGAGATCAGTCGGAGAATATATACAACGAGTGCCCAGGAATACAAATAGAATGTTATAAGCACAGGCACCACAAGATCCGGGCTCTAAACCTTTCACAAAAGAAACGACTTAAAGCCTATGTTATACATGGCAATGAACAAACTAACTTTGAATAAAAACTGGTGCGCATTTACATGTGCACCAACATCTGTATGTTAGTTTTGAACCCACTATGAAAGATCAAACGACCCCTGGCCTTCGTTGATAGCATAAAGCAGCTTCTTGTGCATAACCTCCTGCAACAACGTTCCGACGACCATAGCAGAAGTCAGTTTCCAGGCAAGACGATACGGAAAGGTGGAACAAAAATTCATCAACCAAAAGAACCAAACCTTTGTCGAGTATGGCGGAAGTTTAAGATAGTTGGCACAAGTCATGACACTAGGCAGATCGTCATCTGCAGACTCTGCTGCTCCAGCTGCATTTGAAGTATTCGCCGCAGTCGAGGAGTGCTGGCCAAGATACAAAATGGAAAAGCCTTAAATAACATGAACGCAGAAATGATGTCATTCTGCATTGCTACAACAGGCTTACCTTCCTAACGATAGTCAGCTTAGGATTTAGGGAGGCTAAGCCACCAGGTGGAAGCCGAGGAGCACCAGTCACAAACTGGCAGAATGCATGTTGTTGCTCCGGAGTAAATTCCGTCATGATCTCAAGTAGCTGCAAACCAACAGCACAAACAATAAACTCAAGTTCCAAAAATCTGAAATAAAGCTGTGTGAAGAGATGTGCCCTTTTTAAAGATAAGGGATGTACTCACATTGACAATTGCTGGACTCTTCGAGGTATAACCATGATCAAACTTTATATGTTCGACCAGCGTCTCCGGCTGCATTACATGCATTTGCTCAGAACAAGTTAAGATAATAATTATAGAAGGGAGGAAGAAAGTTAAGAGGACATTACCTCCCAAAGTTCCCGTCGACCACAAATGAGATAGTCAAGCTCTTGAGGAGAAAATATTTGGAGTGATGATATATCAAATACCTGAAATAGAAAAATAAAAATATTTTAAGAGAAATGCAATAGCTAATTAACAATAATTGCCAGCAAATAAGATATCTTAGAAAAATGAGAAAACCTGATTAAATCCAGCTTTGAATGCTTCTACTTGGCGCATTATTCCAGCCTTAAGTGTAGCATCCACTACCAGCGAAATGTACTCTTCTAAGTTGTAAATGCAGACCTACAGGAAGTTAAAAATAACAATGAATAGTCAACAACAATATTAGAAGCAAAAGCTGAAGTAATGACAACATAAGAACCTAATCTACTCCATCACATACCACTGTATTTTCTTCACCTTCCTTCAGAACAAAATCTGGATAGCCCGGAAGAGTAAAATCTAAGCATAGGTCTTCAATAGGAGCACCACGAAAGCCCAATTCTTCTATCTGTTGACTATGACTAGAGCAGGACTCCAGATATCGCTTGCGTTCAACAAGAACTTGCAACTCTTGAAGTATTTTACCAAACTCAGCATCAAAAGATAGTATGTCGTACAAATCAAGTTCCTAGTAAAGCAAAATATTTTGGCATCAATACAGAAGACAGTAGAGAAAATAAAAAAAATACCAAGACTTGACAAGGTGGAAGGGGATATTGGAATGGATCTACTGCAAGCGGGTTTTCATGCTTACCTGTCCAAGTAGAAGCTTATAAAATGCTGTTGACAAAGGCAAATCAAGAAGCCTTCCATCTTGCAATGCTTTTGCCATGATTCGACCAACTAAGCGGAAATACTCAACAACTTTGAAGAATTTACTACCCTCTGAAGAAGCAGTACTAGGTGGCCAAGGCCGAGGGAACAAGCCAAGAGGTGCTTGTACCAAGTTCCTGCTATCAGCAGGTGAATGCGAATCAAGTTTTTTAGCTTCTAAAGAATCAGAATCAGATCTCCATAATCCCAAGCCAACCCTTTGCAGGTCATGACTTAAGAGGGTGTAGAACTCCAAAGTTGGACCAAGTCCAGTTCCCACTTCACCAAAGTATTCAACTTCAAGAACAGCCTTCTGATTGGAGAACATCTCCATTACTTTGGCAGCAGAATCCAGGATCCGGTTACGAGAAACACGAACTTTCTGGCGTTGCAATCTACCAATCCGGACTTCTCTTTCAGTCGCTGAGCTATTATTATCACCCTGTTGTTGCTGAAGACGATTCAATGCCCTAGATAACCCAAAAGCTGTGGAGTAGAAGTGTTGTCTTCTTGTTTCAAAAGGAAACAGAAATGGACAAGCTTTGGTCATCTGATAACACCAAGAAGGTAAACTACCACTGCAGAGTGCAAGAACATCCTGAATTTGCCGAGCAAGCTTTGGTGTCAACTTACTGCTGATAAACTCCTCTGAGGGTAACTTAGCTCCGGTGCCATATAACCCATCCAGGGTACCAACTTTTCCCTCTATAAAATCATCACAGGTTGCCTGTAGTCTCAGACGAGGAGATAGCTGATTCAATCCCTCCAATACACGCAATAGTGCTAAAATATTATAAGTTTGGGTCGATTTCTCAATATCACAAGGAAGTTCTCCTTGCAAAATGCTATCAAGAAGAGAAGTACATTGTTCTTGAGATGTAGCTCTGCAAAGTTCTGATTTGGACGATTTCAGCACTAAAGATGAACCTCTGGTTGATTCCCTATCCACTTCGTTATCAGCCTTTTGATATGTTATAGTGAACATATCACCCCAGAGACGGCTTCCATCATTGGGTAAATCAGAACCACCTAGCCTTTCCTCATCATCCTCATCATGAACTACTTGCTGTTGCATAGCTTGATATACGGTCAAATGCTTGCTAAGCTGCTTGCCGCCAGCTGTAAAAATCAATTTGTTCGAATGCTCATGTGCACTAGTTCCAAGTGGAAGGCCACGCCTATCCTGGCTACCTCTGATACCACGACTACCAACAGAAGCAAGCCCAGCCATGGCAGCTGCAGCAAACGACATCGCGCCCCGCGAACCAAGTGTGCTTGGATTTCTAAGTTCAACAGAACCTGCTCCCCTGCTACTAAAAGTATGTTTTATGCTGGAGCCAGATGAGGGTTGTGCCTGGTTATCACTTGCTATTGAGGCAATACTAGATCCATCAGCATCTGCCAGTTTTACATCATGAACACTCTCTGGAACACAGTCAGGAAGAGACCCACGTAGAACCTGGGGATTTTCAACAAAAATATGCAGTTTTCAGTCATGCCCACTAAAGCCACATTAACTTGCAGAGAAACAAAGCGAGCAATCAAAGTAATTTTGAAATACTACCTCATGATCATCATCTTCATCATCTGAAACATCATCATCGTCATCACCAAGCATCAAAGCATCATCAGCCTCAAAGGGAGATGCGCCCAGTTCTTCGTCCTGCATGTAGGAAACAGAATGTATCATGCACAATGAGCATAAATACAGTAATAAAGTTTAACATTCACATGACATAGTGTACAAGAATTGGATCAGAACTTTGTTCAGGGATAAGGGAATTAGTGAAATAGTAGTCCAGTTTCCAACGCATAAGTGATCTATTTTGTTATACAGGTGAGTACTGGTAAGGGGTACTTGCAGCTAATTACATAGATATAATTAAATTGACAACTTAATTTATATATTCATCACTCAGTTAGGCAAGAAAAGCAGTATTGCATTCGGGCAAACTTTCAACAGTGAAATGCATCACATTGGTGAATATGCTCCCACTATCACAAGTTCTCAACTATGGAATGTGCCATTGCTGCTTGAGGTCCGTGCCACTCTCTCAACATATAATTATTGCATAGGATAAGGAACTGCAACAACCTTTAGGCACATTCAGTGATCGAGATAGTGGTGGGAGCACCAACCTTTCCCTACATCATTGGTTTTAGTTGGACAATGTCTTCATCAACTGAAGCATTGTAGACATGGTGAGACAATATGTACTCCCTAGATGGCATATCAAACTGCAGTTCAAAAGGCATTGTATTCTGTAGATCTAATTTTATGAAATTCACACATTGGTTCCACAATGAAATTCATGTTAAATAATACTCCCTCCGTCGCAAAATTCTTGTCTTAGATTTGTCTAAATACGGATGTATCAAGTCACATTTTAGTATTAGATACATCCATATCTGGACAAATCTAAGACAAGAATTTTGGGACGGAGGGAGTAATTTCATAACGGTATTAATCATGTCAATTCCCCTTAACAGTTGCACCTCAAATTATTAAATGAAAGGAGAGCAGATATAATCATGAAACGACGACGAAAAACAGTAGGAAGGTTGTTATAACGAAAATCAGCTTGGCAGCTGGGTAACTGCAGGGAGGCACTACCAAACAAAGAATATATAGTCAAGCATCTGTATCAAATTTTGGGGAACTAGCAAAAATTCAAGACGTACTAGAGGAAATATATACACTATAGATTATTAAGGAAATGAGTCCATAATGAACAACAAACCTCTGAGCTACTGTGACTGTGTGGTGGCTTCACTTCTGCATCTTTCTGTGAAGCAACTTTTCTGCGTGCCGCAGTCCTAGTATGTGGTCCTTTTGGTTCATCGGACGTCGACTTAACAACAGCTTTGCCTTTTCCCTTGGATGTGTTTCCGCTCCCCTCCTGAATATCCTTCTTAGTTGCAGAATCAGCATCAGCCAATGATTTCGACCTAGTTGAGGGCCGCCGGACAGATTGAGTTGACGAAGCCACTGGTGCTGTTGCACTAGGTGCCACAGATTCAGAATTCTTTCCAGATGATACTGCAGGATAAGATATTGACTCGCTACGCTGGATTCTAGGCCAAAGGAAATCTTCAACGGCTGCTAAACTTGCCAAGGGATCAATAAGAACTATATTGGATGAATAATCCTTGAGCGTTTTTTCACCTGTTGCTCGACACAGGCGCAACTTCAGGGGCTGGGATAGAGCACTTAATCCAGAGGATGGACGAGATCCTCCCAAACTGGACGTCCTTCCAGAATGGCTAATCACAACTGGGAACCGTTCCAGCGAAGACAACGCGCTTTGCAGTTTTTGAACTAAGAATGCCATTGGAGTTTGATTCCCTACCGCATCATTTGGAAGGGCAACATATATAAATGCTTTATATCGCCTGAGTGCCAGGTGACGCAACTTGGGTAGGTTTGCTTCGGACACCTTTTCCTTTCCAAAGGTTCCACAAGACAAATAGTTAAGCAATGCTGAGATAACTCCACTCCCAATAAACTCAAACGTGGAAACCCCATCCCCATTGCTAAGCTCAGACAATATTTTGTCTATGATGTCGTCTAACTGTTCCTCGACATTGCATAAGATATCAAAATCATCACCTCCCAGTGACTTTGATTTCCCCTTGGCTTTTGTTTTAACAGTGTCCGCAGTGGCATTTAATTTTGCACAGAGTGCCCGTAGCTTCAAAAGGTCATCAGTAACTGCAATATCACTTGAGCCGGGTTCAGAGGGGAAGTACTTATCTTTGAATGACTTCGCACGATCACTAACTGAAGCACGAATACTAGTATTTGGACCTTCTAGCGTGCTTGGTGGTGAATTGGCAATAGTAGTATGGGAACCCTTTGGTTCATCCAAGGAATTATTATCAGTATTCCCAGCACTGCTGCGCCGGCGGCTGCGTCTTGAACGTGAAGATGTACATATACCAGAATCAATATCCTTGTCCTGCTGTGGTACTTGAAAAAGCATTGGACTAGAGATTTCCTGGCATATAAGCGATTCTACAGCATGAACAACACCTTCCCTCACAAACATCTTCGAAAATGTCCCAGGGAGCTTTTCCATCAGAATGTCAGCTATCTGGAGAGCGGGAACCAACACATGTGGATCTTTCCAAGCTAAGATGCCAGCTAAGAAGCTGCAAAGGTCAATATCAGGTTAGATGGAACCAGAGGTACACGAGTACATGTATAACAGTAAGCAAGAATGGCATCTGAAGTTTCGTATTAGCACCTGGATATGTTTGTTGTGCCATGGAGAATTTCGATCATTTCCGCTGAGCTGTAATACATTAATTTAGCAATGACAGATAAGCATTTATGACGTATTGGTCCATTTACACTGGAGCCATACACCTGCAAGGGATAGAGTGTATCCAAATAATGTCTCAGATAACAGGATTTCAATAATGTTATCGTCAGCAACCAACATCAACTGATACGCCAGCAAACCATGGGACTGACCTGTGTCATGGTAGGTAATATGTCCATGCCAAATTGCTGGAGAAGTTCAGGCTGATCACGCAATAACTTCTCCCGACCCGAGACTTTAATATCTGTTGAACCAGACTCGCCTTGCTTGCTAGAACCAGGTTTCTTTACAGAAGAGCCTTTCATAAAAACATGGGAATGCGCTGGTAAAGAAATGGTTCCAGCAGGTAGAGGAGGAAGCAATTCGTCGGCAAGGTTCACAATTTCATACATCTGTGTGACACAACAAAGAACATTAGCATATGAAAACAAGCTGCAAACTACCATAGAACTACTACAGGGAACTCTTGGCTTTTGATAAATTAAAAAGAAAAATGGAGCAAGTAATATGGTATGATGTCGAGATTATTAAGGTTAACAAACAGTGGCTGGGCGTCATATAGGCGGTCACCTACCGCCAGTCTAGCGCATCTCTAAACCTTGATCAAGATCAATACTATCATTGTGAATTTCATTATAACTGGAGAAAGAAAATCGGGTAGAAAACAGAGAGGTCTATGAACCAAGAGTTCCAAGACAAACCCTAATCCAATTTACCACATTGTTTGCTCACTGTTATAGCTTGCAGGACTGCACAAACAGCACGAGCACGGGAAACATTTGGCAAATTATTATACACAGAATAAGTATCCAGCATGCAACTTTCTTCCAAATTTTGAATATTCTGTTGTGTGATATTAATTTCAGTTTACCAAACAAACCTGAACTGAATGCACACTTGAGTGAATTTAAGATTGAAAAAAAAAAGTATCACTCAAAAAGCTTCATCGGCTAAGTCAGATAAAACAACCACCGAACAGAGTCATCAACCGATGGCATTCAAATAAAACAGTAAGTAGCTGTAATATATAATATAGATATAGCCCTCATAAAGCAATAATCACCTGATCAGCTGGCCTAGTGGGGGATACAGTTGTACCAGCAACCAAACCAGAACCTGAAAGGATATCTTTAAGTGTGCCGCTAATTCCATGGAGGAGGAGTGTTTTAGCTGCCAATGAAGATCCACTTGCACATATTGACAGAACACGAATTACTCCCTTCAAGGATATATGAGCCAGAGTTAGCAAAGTTGCGTAAATACTAAATAATACAGTAAATAAGTGAAATAGAAGCATACTGTATATGTTAATGTACTCAGTGATGCTTGTCCCGCTGAGTTGCTAACAGCTATTAAGCTAGCAGCTTGTGCAACCAATCCATAATTGCACAATTGATCCAATTTCTCTGGGGATGAAGCAAACGATTCTGCTATACGAGTCAGGCAAACAGAAGCATGTTCCAGCACCTGGAATAAATTGATACAGATAATCAGCATCTCAGAATAGATGGTATCATGGCATAATCAGGGTATCCAAATACAGACAACAAGCATACTTTTGCATCATGGTAGTTCAGAAGATTTGTTAGCAGTGGAACCGCTTCCATTACAAAATCTGAGGCGTCTGAAGGAAGCTTCCTACACATATTGGCAGCTGTAGATAACGCAACTCTCTGTATACATTCCACCAAAAAAACAACTGTGAGTAGTAATAAAAATGTAGTACAGTATGTGTGCAACAAAAAGATAAAGTGATATTACAAATTAGTATGTCCCAATTTCTAAATGGTGCAAAAAAATAACGCAAGTATTGAGAATGTTATGTCTAAATGCTGGAAAAACATAAAAGTATTTAGAAAAATTACTTGAACACCGGTGGAGAAGAAGTCAAGATACGATAGCACTGCCATTAGCGCGCCAGCCCTCAAGCAGGCAGTTGGATGCTCCTGGGATATCTTCTTGAGTGCTTGTAAGGACTAAAATACCCAGAAAAGGCATAAGAAAATATTAGTACCACATCAAGATCTATCAATGATAGATTCTTCCTGCAGCATATTTTAAACGACAAAACAAAACAAGGAAAGTGGCTAATCTAAAGTACCACAGAAGCAATACAATATCAAAATCTAAGAAAGTAATTCAGATGTCGTAGGTGATAAAGCTAATAGTGGTAGATACTACTCAATAACATATTGTGGAGCAGCAAACTAGATTCAATTGCACAAAGGGTTACAAAGGAATTCAAACAGATGCTATCAAGTTAATTCACATTGTTTTGAATTAGACCCAAGAAAAGTAGAAGTATAATATCCATATAAGATGGGAAGGCAGAGAAGAAACATAGCCAGAAACCGGTTACATGAATCTTAGCATCTGATTTCCAACCAACTTCTTAGTATTTCAGATGGATCATTACAGTAGCACATACACAGGCGTGAAATCAGACCCTGAGCTAGAAATATTTCAGATGAAAAACATGTTCAAATAGTTAGCTTAGTCATGCACAAATAGGTGATTTGGCACAGCAAAACCATGTTAAATGGCACCCAGGTGCTCGGCAGGAGCACCACCATGATCAGGCCTAGAAAGTCTTCTAAGGGGCAGATGAGGTCCTTAGATGGATTTGCGTTCGCTGGTGAGGATTTGGAGCCCGAGTCCTCCTGCGGCAGCAGAGGAAGGGAAGACATCTCCATGCCCACAAGCTCCCTAAGGCTTTAAGGCATCACGTGCATTGGGACATGCTTTCATCTAACTATTTTTTCTTTCATGTGTCTCCTATCCTCAGCTTCTTCCTCCCAGAGCGACCAGTGACTAGACCCTTGGCAGGCCCCAAGGCTACTAAGGTATCACTTTCTGCCTAACTCTCTAGATATTTCTTGTGACATCATTAAATGGTGAGCTACTGAACTAGGCAATATTTGGTACTTGCCAAGTGAACAATCAAACAAGCTATTTCAAATATATAGTTCCTTCAAAATTGATTATACACAATATTTCAAACTTAATATTAACTGAGGCTAACTTACAATTACCACATCTGTACAGGTCACTGAAACTTGAGTCAGAAACATAACATAGAAAGCATACAGTGGAACTTCTCAAGTATGGGCACAACGCCAACAAAAATCATGTTTGTAACCTTCTCACTCATGTTTGTTTTAGCACTAAAATGGGAAAAAAACCACAGCTACACAAAAGGCAAACTACTCATGAGCAAGTCCAAATGACCTGCAACACTAAAAGGAAACTCGTGTAATGTAGGTTAAGGCTCTATGGATAATCATGCATAATACAGTACACAAGAATGGTTCACTAAGCATTGATCTGGATCAGGCAACATGATAAAGAAGCAGCATGTACTATATATAAACCAAGCAAGCGATGCAACAGAGCAGTGCTCACCTGCTCAGCAAGGTCCATATATTCAATGGTGAGAAGCCGGGCGCAGAAGCATGCCACGGCGCCATAGTGCACAACGGCAGAGCAGGACGACGGAAGCACGTCGCAGAGGTGGGTCAGGGCCCGCGCGGCGAGCAGCATGATGTCGGGGTTGCTCTCATGGTTGAGCAGCCCGACCAGAACAGGCACGAACGAGTCCACTGAGAAGCCCGCGAGGGTGTCCTCCGTGCCGATGGACAGCATCTCGCAGAGCTGCGTGAGTGCCTCAACCTGGCGCCCCTCCTCCCCGTCGGCGCGGAGACCCGCGAGCATGCTCTTCATCCGCGCGCCGTTCGGCCCAGACATGGACGACGAGGAGGCAGCCGCGGCGGCGGCCGAGAGCGCGGACGACGGCAGCATGTCGTCCAGGCCGGCGCCGAGCTTCCTGAGCAGCCCCTGCAGGGCGCTGCTGGCGGAGGTGAGGCCGTGGGGGAAGGCCCCGTGGCCCTCGTCGTCGTCGTCCATGCCGTCGAAGCTGAGGCCCAGCATCCGCTCGGCCTCGCGCACGCGGGAGCTCTCCGAGGGCTCCTGCTGCTCCTTGCCCTTGTCGGCGTTGGAGGCGCGGCCGCCGCGGCGGCGGGGCGGGGG